TCACGGCTGAACCAGTTGCTCAGGTCCCCTGCCTGTCGTTGTTGCTATGGGAGATTGGAAGACTATTACTGTGCCAGTGCTGCCATCAGGTAAACTGGTAATGTTTTGGATTTTGTGGATTTCCTAAATTTACCAGTGACATTATTGCTGCTAAAGAGAGAGTGGAGTTTTGTGCATGACATACTTGACTAGAATGTTGAATCATGTGTAGTACATTCAGGGTTTTGTTTTGGATTGAGTCTTTACAGAACTGCTGTAAAATACAAATAAAGGTCCTAAGACTTTTCAGTTGATTTTTGGTATAGCTTGTGTTTTCAGAAATTTCTTGTTCTAAATTCTATTGTCTCAAATTTATTATAAATTTATTAAAGGAGTATTTTCTTGCCTGCTTCTACCTAATAGAATAGTAAATTACAGTCTATGGTTGATATGAATAAGGATATCATACATTCTGTAAGAATTTTCACAGTATACTCAGATTTTACACCTGTGTAAAAAAAGTAAAACAAAAATTGTGTTGTTGGGCAGGTTCTTTTTTTTCTTGGTGGATTAGTAAAATTTGAGAGATACAATATCTTAATATGTTTGAGTCATTGAATCTTCAGTGGAAGTTAATACATTTTTCCCTTGTGAATTCTTTAATATACATCATTCTAGATTAAATTCTAAGCTTTAGACTTGTAATTTTCTATAAATAATAATTGAAGTAGTTGAGGATTGGATATTTTTTACATTGTGTTTTAACCTATTAGCCCTGACTTGTTTCTTGATGTTTTTAACTTTTAGATAGCAAAAATATTTTTCAATATACCTCAGAAAAAAAGCTGTCTCCCCCAAGCATGAACTCACAAGTGCTACGCTTGTCACTGCCTTCATCCAAAAGCATGCACAGCTTTTTCAGTGCCTTCTGCACAGAGGAGAATATTGAGCAGAGTATATCCTATCTCAACAGGGTAAGCCAGATCTTGTTTATTGGAGGTTTTCTGAAGGTGTCAGTAAATCAATTGTGAAAGTAAAGATTCACTGGGTTAAGAAGGCTTCTTTCTCAAAGCTTAGAAGCTGAAGTTTGTGGGGAATAGGAATTTCTTCCCTGCCCCCCTCCCCCATATAGGATGTCACCAGATACTGTTTCTAATTTGGAGAACTGTGAAAGATTGATCCATTTATTTATTTACCCCCTTGTCTTTTACCAGGAGTTGACAACACTTGGCTTTCCTTCTATTTATGCGGAGTCCAAAGGAAAAGAATTAAATTTAATATCTATCATAAATTGCATGAATGAATTGCTTGTACTGCAGCATAAGAACCTTCGAGCTCAGGAAGAAGTGGAAATGCAGCATCTGAAGCTGGGTAGTGATATGGATCACTTACAGAACAGCTATGCTAAGTTAAAGGTAGAAAACAAGAGAATTCCACCAACATTATGTAACACCTATGTTTGACAGATACTGTACTTGCTTAACAGTGAGCGCTTTTTTGTTTTACTCCCAAATACTAATCTGCTATTGTATTGTTATGTGCATTTTTGGTGTTTTTTAAAAGTCTTTCCAGCTGAAAATTCATTAAAGTTAACAAAATATGAATAAATGAGCAAGCCAAAACCAGAATTGTCCCCTTTAATCAAGAAGGAAGGAAGACTTTGAATTGGATGTCTTAATGCATACTGTGGGTGAAAATGTTAAAACACTTCATATCATTTAGTATCACTTAAAAGGGTATGCCCAGATCTAAAAGATAAATTCCCAATATAATTGTAACAAGTAAAAGCATAGGTAGCATTTCTAGTGTGTGTCACTGAATCATCAATATTTTTTCTAGGAACAGTTGGAATTATCTAAAAGGGAAATAGTTGGGCTTCAAGAAAGAGACAGACAACTGCAAAGCAAGAACAGAAGTTTGCACCAGTTACTTAAAAATGAAAAGGATGAAGTGAGTTCTCTTGTACATTAACACAAGTAATTACATAAATATCCAATTATACAATTTTTTGCAAGGAGTCTTATAATTGTTCACTTTGAATGCTTTTCTGTTGGTAAATGTCTTTCACTGAGGTGAAATTGGCACATTACATATGGATAAAAAGCTTCTGTAAGGGATAAATCCAAGTTGTAACAATGGTAGAGAGTACTGCAGAAAGACACGTGCAGTTTTCTGAGGCTTTCAATACTTTTGAGCATACTTTTATCTTAGAATGTCTAAAAATATAAAAAAAATAAGAGGGGGCAACTGGGTTCAGTCACATCTTCAAACTTGTGTATATAAGCTTTTCTTTGGTTTTTGGTTTGTTTGGGGTGGATTATTTGGTTATACTGTAGAGGAGAGCAAAAGATAAGAAGGGAAGTAGAGGAAAATCCAGCCCAAAAGCACAGTGTTATTAAACTTCGGTGTCTTGGAATAACCAAGATTAGAAAACACTTTGAAATCCAAGACATTGCTTAGTTTGGGATTTGTTTCCAGGGTACTCCTTCCCCCTAAGTTTCTGTGACTGTTCTTTGTAAACTTATTCCTACAGTTAGCACTCACAGTACTCTCTGGATGTAGTGAGCATCCTAAAGTTCCAGCTTAAAATATTGAACGTATTCTATATTTATAAGGTTAAAACTAATTAATCAAATAAACCCACAACTCAGGTATTGATAGTACAGGCCAAGAATGTGCTTTATGATTTTCATTCTCTCTTAGACCAAATGGAAATATCTGTCTTCCAGCATCCTGCTGCCCAAAATAAGAGGTTATTTTTTAGTTTAAACCTAACAAACATACTTTAGAGTTAAACCAGATCCTGAACATGAGTTACTGAACAAAATGGTTTTCTCTGCTGTGTTCAATAAAGGTGTTAAAGAAGGTTACATGAATTGCCAGAACATGAGTTCAGTTATACTTCAGAGGAGCTATAGTATTATATGTTGTTTATGGTGTTTGTTTCTGCAGAAAATAACTTAAATTCCGTGGGATAAGTCTCAGGTCAGAATCCATGGGTTGAGGGAGGTCTCCTTATTCCTTTTGTCACTACTTTTCACCATAAACAGAGTTTAATAGAAGTATTATTTCACTTCATGTATTTGTTTTGGTTTCCTGAAAAAATAAGTCTGTTTATGCTTTAGTTGGTTGAAGAAATACAGGTTTTTCTGGGGTTCCTTTTAGGTACAGAAGTTACAGAACATAATTTCCAGTAGAGCTACACAATACAACCATGATATGAAGAGGAAAGAAAGAGAATATAACAAATTGAAGGAACGATTGCATCAATTAGTCATGAACAAAAAGGACAAAAAGATAGGTAAGTAGCTCTGAAAATTTTACTACAGCAAAATAGTATAATCTGTATATTAAAAATTTAATTCTGGCTATTTTTAAAGTCAGTATGACTCTCTTATTGTATGTTTTTATTTAGATGTTAAAATAATTCATAAAATGTAATATTTAATATCAGCTGACTGTGTAAGGCTAATAAACTTTTATATTGTGTTCCATAAGGTTGTTTACCAAGGACAAACCAAGATGGAGATCTTTACGAAATAAATTTATTACTAAGGGCAATTATTTGGAATTAATTGCTAAGCCAGAACTGTTTCCTCTACTTTCTTGTTACTGCTGCCATCACAACACTTCAGATACTGTCATAAACACTGTATTATGCTCACCAGTTGCTATCAGGAAAGAAGGCTGCATGAGCTTTTTTCCCCTGGAGATATTACAGTCTGTGTGTTAACAGTAAGCAATGAGAAATTTTCAGAGAGGAAGGAATGTAAGATAGATGTAGCATCTAGTGCTATATGAAATGAGGAGAGAAGAAATCTTCTTTATCATATAGATACTTGTATGTTGTACGACCCAAAAATTGTGTTCCAGATATTAATCAGTGTTGTTTAACATGAGTATAGTTTTTTGTAGTGTGTTGTTAAAAAAGGGTATCAGTGCTATGTAATTAATAAAAACATCGGCACCTTTTGGTTCCTACACCTGGCCTTAGACTCTTTATGTAGCTTTTCTCCAATCAAAGTCCTGCTCTTCCTGTTCTCTTAGCCCATCTGAAAGTGCTTGTGGATAAGCCAAACCAGGTTAGGACACTGAAGCAGGAACACGTATTTTGGTTGCAGAAAGTCTTTAGGTATCAGCTCAGTCATCTCTGGAAGATTCACCATGAGATCAGCAAAACTTACTTTGGCATGTTCTCAACTCCAGTTGGCTGATCCTGGTTCAAGGACCAGTGAGGTCAAAATAACAGTTTCAGATCTTTGCTTGATAGCTGACTGGAATTGGCATTGGACCACTAATCTGGAGTGATGTGGTGTTTTGTGGGTTTTGTTGTGTAGTTTAAATTTGTTTGGTTTTTCTTCCTTCAAATGTGGACTGAAGTTGGTTTTTGTTTTGAAGAACACCTTGTGAAACATCAGGAAGTTGCTTACTCTAAACTGGGTATAAAACTGACATTATTGCCACAAGAGAGATTAGTATTGATACACCATTGATATAAAGGCTGAAACAGGGATAAAGGTGCCATTAAGAAATGCATAAGAAACCATAAGACAGGGTGACAATAACTTCCCTCTGAGTTTCCGAACAGAAAAATTATCTTATTTCCTTGATTATCTTATTCTTACTTTGTTAAGCAGGGCAATATGGTTTTATATGGGTCTGAAGATTGAGGGAGATATTTGGTAATGTGATCTTTTGACAATAAATACATGTAAATGCAATGTCATCTGAGTATTTATATATTTGCATGTCGTTTCACACTTTTAAATATCCTTTTCATTTGTAGCTATGGAAGTTCTAAATTATGTTGGTAGAGCTGATGGGAAGAGAGGTGCATGGAGGACTGATAAGACAGAAGCCAGGTAGTTGCCTTAGAACAACATTAATTGAAGCATATATTATGGCTGTTATGTTGTTACTGTAAGATATGTTCTTCCAGAAACGAAGAAGAAATGTACAAAGTTCTGCTAAGTGATTATGAACAACGCCAAAAACAGCTTTTAGTGGAAAATGCTGAGCTGAAAAAAGTTCTTCAACAAATGAAGAAAGAGATTATTTCACTTCTCCCCCCACAGAAACAGAGACCCAAAGAAAGGTGTGAAGATGGACCAGTAAGTATCCTTGTGGAACTTGCAGTGGATTTTGCATTCTTTGCTGTGCTTGAGATCCATCAGTGTTTAAATGTTTTATTTGCTGGGTGTGAACAATATCCAATGTGTTATTCCCAGTCAGTCAAATGTATACTTTCAGCTGAAATTAACTTTAAATGCAGTAGGTACCTGTATGTAACAATGATACATTTTGGATTTTATCTCCCTTCCACACTTAAGATGTTGGTGCTGGTTTTCAAGATGCTTATGTAAAGAAACCAGGCTTTCCATGGAATTCATGGAAGTGAAGGAAGTGTAAATAGAGTGCACTCCTATAGTACATGGGTTAAAGTAGCTGTTAGTTCCTTTTATGGAGTTGCTGGTATGCTCAAGGAAAATGTTTTATTTCCAAGTAAAATGGTTTGTGGGGTCTCTTGTTTGTTTCTAGCCTTTCAGTATTTCTTGGTTTACCCAGGATACTCTTTTTATGGAACAGCACAGTGAACTTTCATTGTTTATCAGAGTTTGTTTTTTCCTTTTGCTGATTCCTTGCTGGAAGTTGCAGTTCTGTTCTGGTGTTAGAGTGAAGCAGGGAATAATCTAGAAGGTTGACTGAGTTTTCTCATTTGAATAAGAGTAGATCTTGCCTGGTCCTTCTGCCATTTTAGTGAGGTTAGGAGTGTTTGACACAAACACTGGTGAAAATCCAGCTGTGGGAATGGTGATTAAACAAATGTTTGAACTGTTGTAGCATAATAGACTATTAAAAAGGTATTAAAAACCTGCACTGAAACTTGTGATTCATTCTCTTGTAATAGTACTAGTTAACTAAATTAAGCAGAACTACTTACTAGACAATAGTGATTTCTAGTAGTAGAATAGTAATAGAAATATGTACTAGATGTAAGTCTGAAGCAGTTATTTCAGCAATTTTAGGGTGGTGTGGTGTTTTAGTTTCATAAAACTCTTCAACCAACAACCTCCCCTTAAAAAAAACCCCCCAAACAACCAAACATATAAAACCTGCTTGTTTTTTTTTTTGTAGCTGTTTTGTTTCCTAAGGTCTCTTGTGATCCAGGTTTGAAGTGACGTGCTTACTGAATGTGTAAATTAATTACTGTGATGCCTTTGAACTTGTTCTACTTGCCATTGCATTTTTCTTACCCACTTTTAGATAAAGGGATTTGTTTAGAGTGGTTCAGATGCTTAAAAAGAGTGGAGTATTCATGTTAGGTATTCAAAGGGCTGTGCCTTTTTGTTTTAAATCTACTAAATTCTCCTGGACTAGTCTTCTCTGGACCATTTAGACTTTCATGTCTGAGCTCTTTGCAATAGCTGTTCAGGTTTGATTTTTGTTTGAACAATAGTGTAATACAAGTGGGAGGGAAGGTGCTAGTTCCACTTCACCTTCAGTGTGTTGTAGTCTTTTTTTATCATGGAGAAAAATGAGGCAGGGCTAAATTACTTGTCATCAGGAGACAATATTTGTCCTAAATACTCTTAGTGCTGCATAGTGAGTTTACAGGCAGCTACCAGTTAAGTTTGACAGCAGAACTCAGCAGTCTCAACTTCTCTAGCTGGAAGATGTGTGAGTGAGTGAGTGAGTCTTGCTAGCTGATACACGCCCTGTGGTGGGTTTCTGGGAATTGCCAGATGACTTCTGTCTCTTCAGCGTTATGCTTTCAGGGAATTGAAGTCCTTGACAGTCAAATTTCCCTAAATGGAAAGATCTTTCCTGTATTTAAGGATTTCCCTTCTTGTCAGTAAATTGAATGCATATTCATACTTAAATAAACAATAGAAGTATTTGGAGTGTCAGAGTGGTTTGCAGCTTCTTGTTGCTTCTTCTATAGGTGCTGTCAGACCTGGAGGAAGATATTGGAGAGTTAAATAAAGAGAATATGTGGGAACTATCTTGTGAAACTGTGCGAGAGCAGCTTACCAACAGCATTAGAAAACAGTGGAGAATGTTGAAAAATCATGTTGAAAAGCTGGATAATCAAGGTAATAATGAACTGTATTACTTCTACATATCAAATGAGACTGATAATTCTGTTTGGTATCGTGCTCTTAGGATTTACTTTACTGACTAAGTTAAAAGGAAGCTAAACTAGAAGGAGTTGTGGCTTAGTAGACTTTCTCAAAGGATATGTGATAGGCATTTTTTTGTGTGAGTTTTAATTGTAAGTAGCTAGGGAAGGAATTCCACACCAAGCCTGGTCGTGATTATAGTTTGACACAGTAAACAGCAACTCTATGAAGAAATAATTTTCCTCTTGAAAGTACATGCCCTGTAGTAACCTTTTTGAGATGTACCAGTAATGCAGATGTAACAATTAGAAGTAATTGGATGCAAAATATGTAAATCCTTCTTAAGAGTCTTGGCTTGTCACATCCATACCTCTGAGGCTTCTTGTGGCATTGTAAAGCAAACTGGCTGATGGTATGATGCTGGACTCTCCTTATTTCCAGCTGTTAAACAGCATTAAAAGACAGCTAAAAATATATAGAATTCTTTCCTAGTATTACTTTTCCATGCAAGCAAATGCTGCTGCTACCACAGGGTTGCTTGCTGTCAAGAATAAGCCTAAGGAGGTCATGCATGCATGCAGTTGCAAATAAAAGAGCAGGTGGTCTGTGAGAATATGTTTGTACCATAAAAGGGATTTCAGGAACACTTGTTGTGAGTAATACTTGATTTGCTGTAACTAATGAAAAAAACCAACAACAAGAAAACAACCAAACAAAAAAAACCCCACAAAACCCAAAACAAACAAACAAACAAAAACCCCAACAAACAAAAAATAGTTGCAAGCATCAGGAAAAATGTTTCAGGCAGTTGCTGTTTTCTTGAAGTGCCCTTCTATGGGTGTTGGTTTTATAGAGATGACCATGGTCTAGTACTTTAGGATTCACTCAATTTTAAATGCTGGCATCAGGGGATCAAAACTTCGTTCATTTACAGTTTCTATTATAGCTATGCATTAAATTAAATAAAGCAGTGTGTGATTACACAAAACACATTTTATTCCTTGCTAATTCATTCTCTTGTTGGGATGAAAATATGCACACAATGTTAGTTAGTTCTGCTTCTCCTTCACAGGACTTGAAGGAAAGGCTTTCTTTTTATATCTGTGATACATATAGTTACTGTCATATTTTTATGAGCACACAAGCCCTTAAAAAATGGGCTCAGAAGAATAGGCTAACTGTCAGTGGAAAGAAGTCTTCAGTTACCTTGATTTTTCTTTTAAGTAACTGCTGAAACAAGTGAGTTTTTTGTCTGACACTTTGTGCACTGCAGTTGCGTGGTTTATCTTGGGCAACATGAAAACAGCTACGTTTTCATTCCCATTTTTTTCTGAACCGGATTTTGCGCATAATTACATGTGTAGCACCAATTTTCTGTCTCTTGTCTCTGCCAGAAGTGCTTTTGCACTCTGTATATGTCTTCCAGGATGAAACAAATACCATCTAAAACCTTTTGCTATTGCCATGAGTCACTGGTAGGAGGAGTTTTTTGTTTTGTTTTTAAGTAGCTTTTTCACCCCTTAGTGTCACGGGTACATTCAGGAGCTTTGAATGAAAAAGATGTCATTTCAAGAGAAGACCATGAACTGGAAACTGAAAAGCTGGAGTTAGAGATTCAGCAATGTAAAGAAATGATCAAGACTCAGCAACAGCTCTTACAGGTAAGTCTTTTTTAAATTTTTTTTTTACTGTGTGACTTTTCTCACCTCTGAACCTTTTTCCATTCTTAGGTTATATCTTAATGGTTGCTCTGAGTATAGGTGTGCTAGTGGGTTGGTTAGTGATCTAAAAGCTTGTAATCTGGGTAGGAATAATATGGCAGAGGTCAACCATTTGAACAGGGAAATTTTGCTTGCCATCTGAAACTGCCTGCACCATACATTGTTGCCATATTAAACTTCAGCCATTTCTGGTAAAAACTGAATTCAACTGATACTTATGGAAATATTGCTCCTCTTACCACTCCAAATTCATGTTTGCCTTTTGTTACTTTCTATCTGCAGCAGCAGCTGATGTCTCCATGTGATGATGACACCACTCTGTTACTGCAGGACTGCTATTTGCTGGAAGAAAGAGAGCGTCTTAAGGAGGAATGGAGACTGTTTCGAGAGCAAAAAAAGAATTTTGAGAAGGAACGAAGAAGTTTTACAGAAGCTGCTATTAGATTAGGACTTGAGGTATTAGACAAGTGGAAGGGTATTGGAAAAAGGAACTCCTGTGGAAGATGAGTTACAATTGTTTTACTGTTACACACACTAAAGTGCAGCAATCCAGCAATAGCTGTTTGCTAACATCTATAGAGAAAGGTCGTGCCTATAGTGTATAAAACATCTTTGGTCATTGTAGGTCTGGTGGCATTTCCAAAAAAACAAGTTTTGTGTGTATTGGAAAATACAGTTGCTGCAACTGGCATGACCCATTTTTTTCAGCTTTTGAAATATCAAAGTACTTCCAAAAATCAGTCCCACTTTTCACTAAATACTTTATTAGCTGCTGCTTACATTTGGTTTCCCATGAAAGCAAGGCCTGTGCAAACTTCAGTTAGATTTGGCTGCAGGGTTCAATTCTCAAAGGTACTTGATTCCTAAACTTCTGTGAATGCCACTGACTAATGTAACTACCCATGCTTCTGCTTGTTAAAATGTATAAGTATGAAAAGAGAAGCAGTGCTGTAAGCCTTCTGTGATGTAGGTGTTTGTGGAAGTTTGCATTGAAGTTCAGCTTGCTCTATTTTCTACTGACATAGTAGAAATCATTTTTATATAATGGGGGTGTCCTGTTTTACTGATGGTTTTTGGAGATTAAGTAGCCTGTGGCTTCATTCCAGAGCTATTGGATCTTTGAAAGGTTGTCTTGTACCCATTATTTGCCTTTTCTGTGCTCAGAGTATTTGGAAAATGAACCCACTTTCTTTCTGCCCCAGTTTTGGACAGAAGCAATCTGTGCTATATTTTTTCTGTGTTTAGGAGAAGGCTCAGAATTGAGGTTTAAGCAGTAGTCCTTATTGGCAGCTGCCCAGAAATGAGGGTTATCTCCAAGAGGCAGTGCTACACTGAGGGGAAAAGGGGGCATAGGAAGCAGTGAGAGAAGATTGTGTCACTGGGCTGCAGAACTGTAAAATGAGGGATGGGTCAGACATCTGTGAAACAAACCCTGGGGTTTGGCTTGTAAATGCCTAACTCCTCAGCTAATCCTTGTTGGATTCAAAAGTTTACTCTCACATGACTCTAGCTCTTTGCTAAACTGCTGAATCTCCTTAATTATATGAACATGTTACAACTTTTGCTTTCTTAGGTAGAATAGCATCGATTTAATGTGGACTAAGCTTGTTCCTTTCATCCTAAGTGTAAACTGTAATTTTTTTTTTTCATAGAGAAAGGCATTTGAAGAAGACAGAGGAGCATGGCTGAAGCAACAGTTCTTAAGTATGTCTACTGATTACAAGCACTCTGAAAATATGACAACTCCAAGTGCCTTCTTGGGAAGCAAGTATTCATTTCAAATGGTTTTTGTGATGTTTCTTTTTCCCTCTTTCAACCAGAAGATGCAAATATGAACAAAACTATTAAAAAGTCAAAACTTCCCCAGACAAATTTCACCCCGCAGCTGTCATATAGCAGCCCATATCTGTCAGGTGGCTGATGGTTCAAAATCTCCTCTATTAAAGGGAATCATTCTAACTCCCTCCCTGATAATTATTTATATAATTATTTATATTTGTGAAGGGATCTGGTGAATGCCAAGTACCTGACAGCACAGCTGTTAAGAACAGGGAAAATTTAGAATTACTAAATTAAATTAAATGTGACCATATTAATTAAGGTTGAAGAAATCATGATGTATAGAGATCTGTATAAATTAGAAACAAATTTTGGAAAGAAGAGTTTCATAATGTGGAGATAGCAGCATTAATTATTTGAGATGAGGGTGTAACAAACGTGTACATATACATATTCAGTAAAAAAAAAAAGAATCCTTGGGAAGAAGAAACAGTGAAAAGAGCATAATGATAACAAAAAAAAATATTGAGCAATAAGCAATTAAATGACAAGATTCAAACCTTCATAAAGGAATAACGTCTTCAGAAAAGATAATTAATATATATAATATATATATGACACAGTTTGGAATATTATTCTTATTGCAAGTATTTTTTTACTTCCTTTCTTCCAAAGGTTTTTTTTCCAAGGTTGTTTCCCATCTTCTCATGCCTGAGTATGCATGAGCAGTATTTTGGTCTTCATCACTGAGCCTTTAATACTCTTGGCTGGGGGGGGAGGGGGGGAGGGAACAAAAAA